CAGAAAAGAAATATGATCAGACATACTGTGAAAATGTCTTTTCTCTGTTAAACATAATTTGAGAAATAAAAAATAAAAAAATTCAATGAGGATTTAATAATTCTGATTGCAACCGTACATGTACATGAGCAGAATATTGAGCTTATTCTAATTTTGACCAAAGTGCACACAAGCTTTTTAAAGATTTTTCTTTCGCTTTGGTCGAAAATCACTTGTGTATAACAAACCAATGAAATAAATTGGTTTCGTAACGCAGCACTTTCTGCGTCCAGTGTGAAAGCTGCTTCACTCTGCCAAGAGACTATGGAAGGAAGAAGAGTGAAATCAGCTCACTGAACACTGCTGAGCAGTACGGCACAGCATACCTTTTTTCTCTCACATTTAACTATTTTTCTCTTTTGGCTAAAAACCAAAAATGCCATTGTTATAGTTTTAAACACTGTTTACACCTGTATTCAGTGTCATCCACTTCTGATCGTATTTACAAAAACTCAAAAAAAAAAAAATTTGTAAAATGAACATATTTTGTCAGTCCAATACACTATTGTGGTAATTCGGAACTTCTGATTTAGTGGCTAATTCATATTCATTGAATGATCTCATTTTAGTATGATTTACTCATCCTCCAATGAGGCGTAGAGAACCATTTTTTCCTTACAGTAATAATTCAAATAATTTATTTTTAAAAAGTCATCTTTGAAACATGTATATGATAGAATCATCAAGAAAAACTGCCACTGCCAATAAAGAAAAGAGCAAATAGAAGAAATATGCAGAGTTGGGAACAAAACAATGATGCCATGGTTTATATTTTTATATTATACTTTGATCTGACAAATCCTCCAGCTTTTTAGAGTGACATCACACTTAAAAATGCACTTTTGAAGCATTACAGTGCACTCACCGCATCAATTTGTCATCCATTTCTCTAGGATATATTTGTTTTAAACTAACCAACAGAAAATAAAAAAACACATTGCAAAAACCCACCTTTGCCATATTAACACTTAATGGGAGATTAGGACATTCAGAAAGCATTAGAAAGCAGTGTGAGTGTGATGAATTGCTACGCTTCAGCACACACACTAAGAGGCCAGTGACCTTTAACTGGATGAGAGCTTTTACTCTAAAAGCCCATGATTGGTTCGAGAAGCAATTGGCAGAGTAGAGCTGTCTGACAGAATGCAGACACAGAAAAGAAAACCTCAGTTCATCAAGTACTCATTTTCATATGTCTCCATTAAACTCCCTCAGAATGAGCTCATATCAATGCTTTCCTAGGTCTGCCTGTGAGCATGCACTGCCTGTGTGACTATTTGCCTCGCGCATGTAAAAATGTATTGACCAAGCTTGTTAATTACTTCAAATTAAGCCATTTGGTGATTGCAACTGCATCTATAATAGCTGATAAGTTTCGGTAGTTCCTCTTGTGTCAGTTTAAACTTCTACAGTTAGCAGTGTTGATAAATTATAAATATTAAATTCAGCTATTACATAAAACATTTTTAACACACAAAATATAATACATAATTTAACAAAAATGTAATAATGAATTACAAATAAACATTTTATTAAATATTTTTATAACATTTAATAGTGCTGTCAAAAATATTTTTCTTGATCTCAACTAAACTATACAGTTACCAGACAAAAGCCTCGTCCCCTATTCAAGTTTTAGGAACACAAAGTGGCTTATATAAAGGGGGAAAAGCCTCTAGATTACGTTAATTTTACCAAAATAAAATATGAAAAAAATTATTAATTAATAATAAATAATTAAATAATTAATTATTTAATTAGGACAGTAGGGTCTGACTTTTCTGTCAAAAGTCTTGTCACTTTACAGAAAAATATACAGTACAGAATATAAAGTCATGGTGCAGTTGGAAAAGAATAGATATTATATATGACTTCCATGTGCTTGGACAACTGCATCCATACATCTCGGCAATGACTCAAAATAATTTATTAATAAAGTCATTTGGAATGGCAAAGAAAGCTTTCTTGCAGGACTCCTAGAGTTTATCAAGATCCTACGGATTCATCGTAAATGCCTCCTCCTTCATCTTACCCCTGACATGCTCAATAATGTTCATGTCTGGTGACTGGGCTGGCCAATCCTTGACTCAAACTTGAACTTCTTTTCTTTGAGGAACTTTGATATGGAGGCTGAAATATGAGAAGGAGCGCTATCCTGCTGAAGAATTTGCCCTCTGCTGTGGTTCGTAATGTAATGGGCAGCAGAAATGTCTTGATACCCCAGGCTGTTGATGTTGCCATCCTCTCTTCAGATCTCTCACACATCCCCATACTGAATTTAATCCTAAATCAGGATTTTTCCTTCATCAAACTTGACTGATTTGTCTGAGAATCTTGAGTCCATGTGGGTTCCAGTAGATCTTCTGCAGTATTTGTGATGATTGGGATGCAGTTCAACAGATGATTCATAGGAGAAATCTACCTTCTGCCACTTTTCCAAATGATCTAGAAATCAAGTTATTATTTGTTGCTCTTACAACTGGGATCGACGACAAGACTTTAGTCAGGTAGTGTACAGTGGTACAAATTGATATTTGAATTAAAATGTCAAATTCAGTTTGCTAAATTGAAAAACTGATCAGAAAAAATATTCATGACAATTACAATGGCCTCATGACAATCATGTTCATGACAGATTTATGACAAGTTATGTTGTCTTGCTGATGTCAAGTTGTCATGACAAAGACACTGGCTGATTTTAATTTCTTGGTGATGTCCAGCTGTCTTGACAAGGACAAAGAAAAGCTTTAATTTTAAATTTGTTTATGTCAAGTTTTCATAAAGATATCTCAAACAATATCATATTTCCATTTAAAATGACCTAACTGAGTGAAAAGAAATCTTTTTCATATTTATGACATGTTTTGTCATGATTATAAAGGGTTAATGACAGTCTTATGAACAAGTGTTATGTACCTTTAATTATACTAGCCTTATTTTCATGAATTAATTTACAATCAGCACAAACATTAGCACAACAATGTTTCTTTCACCAGCAGTGGGCTATTAATGCCACTCATTCACAAATCTAGCTTTTTAAACCATACAAATTCAGACTGACATGACATCAAGCATGTAAACTACATTAGACCGCACCTACACTCATTAAAACATGCCTGAACACATGCGCACATGTGTTTTACTCTCTAATGAGACGTACGTATAACCATCCGCACGTGTGAACACACTACAGTAAACCTGCACATTACAGTATGCCAGCTCTTCAGGCATGAATCATTAAAGCTGTGTTTCCCAAGCGGTTTGAGCAAACTAGTTTTTTTTCCTGGAGGTGTTTTATGTGAAAGTGCCTCTTTCAGCCCCAGCTGTGTTGTCTAGTAAACAGATCTGTTGCTAGGCAGATCTGAGTTATTGCTCCACCAATCACTGCCTGACTGAACGGGTGAGTAGGACACAGATTAAGCAAGAGTTATTTTTACAATTGCGCTCCAGATAAGTAGTAAAATGTAGAATTAAAGGTCATTGCTATCAAAAGGCATCTCTGTGTGTGTGTGTGCTGTTGTCATTTTCATTTCATGAAAAAATAAATTGGTCATATATACAGTTGAAGTCAAAATTATTAGCCCTCCTATGATTTTATTTTTAATTTTTTTCCAAAATAACGATTAAAGGAACAAGTAAATATTCACAGTATTTCCAATAATATATATTTTTTGGAGAAAGTCTTATTTGTTTTATTTCAGCTAGAATATAAACAGTTTAAAATTTTTAAAAACATTTTAGGGTCAATATTATTACTTATTATTATTAGCCCCTATAACTGGACGATGGCCTTATCCACATAAGATATACATTGTTTATGTTACTAGAGTATTTTCTCTATTCCTCTCCCAGATAAACAGTTGCTTACCTTTATGTATTTTAAAAGAAAACTATAAATAAACATGATGTGAATCCAGCAGCTCGGATCTCTCCTGCAGTTGTGCTAGAAGGGATACAGCTGCGATTGGAAGTTTATGAGGAGTATGATTTTAGTATTTCCATTTAGGGGGGCTCCAAAAAATTAAAAAATAAATTATAATTATATATATATAATAATTATTATATATATAATTATATATATATATATATATATATATTACATTACATTTCACCAAAAAATGTTTGTTTAATATTTATTGTATACTAGTATTCCACTGTATTACATAGACAGGCATAGCCATTTGAGTTCTAAATAAGTTTCTATATTCAAATGCATTTTTTGTTTCCTTGTATTACATAAATAAACCTTTCTAATGTGACACATAAAAATATATATATTTTAAACTTACAGGCTAATTCACATATTTCAGGATCGGAATGTAAATAATAAGCAGATATTTTAACAATTTTATTAATAAACACCATTTTCTTAGCAAACTTAAAGGGGACTGAGGCAATAGAGGCAATGAGCTGATCGCAAAAGTTTTAGAGGGGCTGAGTGGTAATATGGGGGGCTACAGCCCTACTAAAATAGGCCTAGCAACGCCCATGATGAGAAGTATTTACACTGTTTATTAAATTATGCAATTATTGTATTTTATTAGCATCTACCACTACCTTAACCCTAACCGCAACCCTCATGGTAATGTAAAAATATTATTTATTGTTGACCAGTGTCACAAAAATTACGCAATACTATCCCATCTAGACTTTACTGTCTCCTGCAGCTCAGAATAAACATGGCGGCAGCCATTACCTGTCATATTCCAAATAATACAATCATTATTAAGCTGTTAAATTTTTTAAAAAGCTGTTTATGGTTAGAAATGTGTTGAGAAAGTCTTTTTTTCCATTAAACTGAAATTAAGGAAAAAATATACAGGTGGCCAATAATTCAGGAGGGCTAATAATTCTGACTTAAATTGTATATAATACAGATTAAATTAATTAAAATCTAGAATTTAATGTCAGTGCTCCTGTTCATGTGTGAACATGTGTGCGAGTGCGGCTAGCTCATATACCTCATTCAGTAGCCTCCAGTGTTTCAGTGAGTGTTGTGGCCCATTGAAGTCGTTACAATCCCAACGCGGCTCGTAGTTTCAGCGCAGGCCTCCAGCACAGCCTGCAGACACAAAAACATACAGTGTATTAATAACAACACAGTTCCAGAGTCTGTACAGTCACCAACAAGACACATTCGCACCCTTGAAACCCCGTCCCGTCATGAGGTCATGAAACAAGCGATGAGCAAACATGATCCAGGTGCACTCGGGTGCTTTTACTCCACTCATACTAGTGCAACTCTGTCATCCTGCAGCTCCACTCCCTTCAGACGCTCTCAACACAGAGCAGACCTCTATGGAAACCGACTAACAAGACAACACAAAGGCGGAGTGAGCGTGTGCAGTGAGTGTGCTCTTTAAAAGGGATATATTATGCCCTTTTTTATAAGATGTCAAATAGATTACTCAAGTGTCCCTAGAGCGTGCCTCTGTAAAATTTTAGCACAAAATAACCAACAGATCATTTGTTATAGCTTGTCAAAGTCTGCCTCTACTGTGGTGGGTGAGCTAAAACATGTCCTTTTACATTCGAATGTGTTGCTGATTTCCAGAAGAGAGACTTTACAGGCTATTCTGACACTTCAGAAACAACAAAACAAGCAAACCACATGCAGGCAAGATGTCAGAAGTGACCAATAGTAAACTGAAAACATGTTCTTATCAGAGTCACAAAATCGGAGAGGAAGAGGATACAACTTCTTGATGCATATTTCCAGATTAATTTATTCATGCTTTTTATTATGAATTTCATCCAAAAAGTTAAAATAAATAAACAGAATTAATTATGATTTCATTTGGAGAAAAAAGTACCATTATATTAGGAAAGATGACATAAATAAGGAATATAGTGAAGGTGGATTAAAGACTATAGATTTTGATATTATGAACGGAGTACTTAAACTTAAATAGCTGCAAACATTTATTTTTAAAAAATGAGGATTTATATTAGTTTGTAATTCCATCTTATTTGTTTAAAAAGCTGGGAGCTATAAATTGTAAAAAAAAAAAAAAAAAAAAAAATTTGACTTTGAATTAAAATTCCACTGAAACTTTCCAATTTTCATAAGCAGGTTTTGTTGTATTGGAAAATGCTGCACAAACATAACCTCAGTCCTCATAATGTGTCATTATTGAACAATCACTGTATATTAATGCATTGTTAATCTTTTTTTTTTTTTTTAGAGGACTGGTGGTAAAATGGTATTTGGTCAGTACTGCATATTTTGTTAGTTGCAATGAGCTTGGTACTATCTTTAAATTTAATTGTGTTAAAAAAGATTATTTGAAAGTGATTAGAGGTATTCCCTTACCATTAATTAATATGTTAAAAGAGATGCTAGTTTATTCCACGGCAACACCAAAAACTATGTATATTAAATTAGGTAAGTTAAATTTTAGGTAGTTAAATTTAAAGACAAGAAAAATATTAGAAAGTGCCTTATACAGCAATGCTATCCTGGTGCTTTTAAAAGAAATTATATTTTAAAACCTTTTAATAAGAATTTAGTTAAGAAAATTAAATGCAAAAAAAATCCTATTTCTCCAAAATACAAAGAAGTACATTTTAAAATGATGTATGATATTTAACCTGCAAAGGAGTTTTGAACTGACCCCTGTTGGTGGTACAGCGTGCCATAAAATTGATTTATTTCCTTTCCCCAGTAACTCAGATTTTTAATGTCTTTGGAGACTCATTCATAGAAAACAGACATATTGTAAATCTTTAATTGTGATAAAAGAGCAGGACCTGTGATCGAAAGAGTTGCAGGTTCGAGTCCTGGCACAGGCAGGGTTGCCGATTAACTTGGGTTGAATGCAGAGCACAAATTCAGTGTTTAGGTCACCATATTTGGCCACATGTCACATGATTTTCACTTTCACTAAAATATCTGGCTGCTATTTACTGAAATGTTGACTACTGCATTGGCACAGTGGGCGGAAACGTGCAGGTATAATAAAATAAAATATGTTATAATATAATATAATATAATATAATATAATATAATATAATATAATATAATATAATATAATATAATATAATATAATATAATATAATATAATATTCAAGTTCCTCTTCTTGCATCAACAGAGGTGTAAAATCTAAACGGTTTGTTTATCCACAAGCTTGCTAAAAAATTCTGATTAAAACATAGTTACTGGGTTTCCTTACACACTTTTTCTGGGTTGGTACATGCACCAGGGATCTGATTATAGCACATAAACATGGAAAAAGTCAGATATTCATGATATTTCCACTTTGAATAAAGATGCTCCTCATTAGAGCTGCACTCAGATCAGCATTATCTGTTTTTTTTTTTTTTGGTAACCACCTGCGATATTCCATAAGGCATTAACACGGTAATGACATCACATCCCTCAACTCCCAGAAGCGCAGATCTTAGATCAGTATTGAGGAGCGGGACTCCGCAGCGCAGATTGCAGATTGCAGTGAGGAAGCCGTGTGTCATTCATCTCTGGGGTATTACGTGAGAAATAAACTGTTGCCTTTAGAGGATTAGATAGCGGCAATCTATTTCCAAGTGACATGCCCTCTGCTTATGTAGCATTTGTGTCGCAGCTACGGATGTACAAAAATATTTTAAGAAGTTGACTAATCTCAAAGAACTGGAAGCCCTGCATGAAAATAGCGGTTTCAAGTTCGACAGAGATTTCTTAGTGACCAAAAGTCTCTAAAAAGTCCAAAAGATGCCACTTTTAGGCATCTTAAAAAGCATATATCTTTTGGCCGATGCAGATATTTATTTACTGATTATTATTATAATTTTTTTTATTGTAATGTTCTAAAAAAGGTACAAAAGCTGGGATCACATAAAAGTGGAAGAAAAAGAGAGAAAAAACAACAAAGAACAGATAAAAAACAAAACAAAACAAACAAACAAAAAAAACCGTCAGGTACTGGCATGTGTGTTTTCGTGTGTGTGTGCGCATGTAAAGATAACTGGGTGAACAGGTCAGAGTACACACATACTGTATACAGTACAGTTGCAATCAGATTTATTAACCAATATAAAAATATTGCTATTATATTATATAACTATTATATAACTAAATATAATAGTTTTAATAACTTATTTCTAATAATAGTTTTATTTTATCTTTGCCATGATGACAGTAAATATTATTTGACTAGATATTTTTCAAGACACTTCTATACAGCTTAAAGTGACATTTAAAGGCTTAACTAGGTTAATTAGGTTAACTAGGCAGGTTAGGGTAATTAGGCAAGTTATTGTATAACGATGGTTTGTTTTGCGGACAATTTAAAAAATATAGCTTAAAGGAGCTAATAATTTTGACCTTAAAAAGGTTTTTAAAAAATTTAAAACTGCTTTTATTCTAGCCAAAATAAATCAGTTAAGACTTTCCCCAGGAAAAAATATATATATATTATCAGACATACTGTGAAAATTTCCTTGCTCTGTTAAACATCATTTGGGAAATATTAAAAACAGAAAGAAAAAAAAATCAAAGGGGTTTTAATAATTCTGATTTCAACATGCATACATGCATAGTTAAAATTGTTATAGGTCACACATATCAATTAACAAAGCAAATAAAATAGATATACATAAAAAATATGTAATGTATATAATTTAGTAATGTATTGATAGATATAATGACAGTAAAAAATGGACAACAGTAATAATAACAATAATATTAATTACAACAAGTACTACTGTACACCAACTACTACTACTACTATAGCAATTACTAATGCTATTACTGCTGCTACTACAGCTACTACTACCACCACCATCACCACCACAATGACTGCTACTACTACTTCAACCACTACTACTATACTTCAACAACAACAACAATAACAACTACCACTTCAACAACTACAACTACTACTACTACAACAATCACAATTACTACTATAACAACAACTACTACTGTAACAACTACTACTGTAACAACAACTACTACTTAAGCAACTACTACAACCACAACTACTAATAAAACCCCAACTATTACTACTACAACAACTACTATTACTTCAACAACCACAACTACTACTATAACAACAACAACTACTACTACTACAACATCAACAACCACAACTACAACAACAACAACAACAACAACTACTACTACTACTACTACTACTACTACTATTACAGCCTGAATAATGTCAATGGTCAATATAGATATTTAGCAGCACATTGCAAATTAACATTTTTAAACTTTTTATTAATATAAATAATGACTAATTTAAAAATTCAGAAAACGTATATGTATATTTACATATTTTTTTGTATAAAATAATGTATTTATACAGTTCAAGACAGAATTATTAGCCCTCCTGAATTATTGGCCCTCCTGTTTTTTTAGACTAATTTCTGTTTAATGTGAAGCAGATTTTTAACACATTTCTAAACATAATAGTTTTAAGAATTAGTTTCTAAAAACTAATTTCTTTTATCTTTGCCATGGTGACAGAGCATGATATTTTATTAAATAGGTAAAGTAATAAAAGATGGCTTGTTCATTAGACAATGAAAAAAAAATAGGGGAGCAAATAATTTTGACCTTAAAATGACTTAAAATATATAAACTGCTGTAATTCTAGCAGAAATAAAACAAATAATAAGAAAAAATATTATCGGAAATATTGTGAAAAATTGCTTGCTCTGTTAGTCATCATTTGGGAGATATTTGAAAAAGAAAACAAGATTCACAGGAGGGGTAATCATTTTGACTTCAACTGCATATAAATATTTTTTTCTTTAATGTATATATGATTTATTAATATACAATTTCAAAGTTAATTTTGTTTGATACACATTTTAAATGTACAGTCTTTCAGAACAATAGAATAACCACAAATATCAACACACATGTCCATTGTCACCCATCCCCTAGTTGCAAGGCAGCAGGATTTATGCCGTGAGTTGCAATGCAAATGGAAGGCAGAGGTCACGGTTTCATGTCAATGTCATTTCGTGCTTTCTTTGCAGTGATTAACAAGTATACACTCGTGCCATATCATCCAATTCTGCAGATTAATTATCCTCTGTGCTGCTCTGGCAACATT